TACACATAGTAACAAGTATAACGAGTTACTAATTTGGCACTGTTTTCCGAATAATACCAACAAAAACACGCATCACTGTCTCCCAACCCTCCCAACCGCTCCCAACGCTCTTAACCTCTTAACCGTCTTAACCTCTGCAAACATGCGAACAAACTACAGCCATCTTACGTACAACCGTTCCAACCCACACTACGCATAAATTTCAATTCGTTCCGCATGATTTTTAACATCGTCTATAGAGGGCAGCGCTACTACTTACCTACTACGTTTTTGTGGTATTATCGTACATGACGAAAAATAGTTTTAACATAAAATATTCGGGAATATATTCTTATTATTTGATTAAACCACTCCAATTGTTCTTTCTCTCTCTCTCTCTCTCTCTCTCAGACACACATCTGCGCTTGCGAACGCACACATGAACAGCGAGTGTTTCCTTTAACATTATCATCTAACAAATTTTTGCAACCGAGATTTGTTGGAGGTATGAATCGAATTTTAAGCAGTGCTTGAGGTGGAATGAAAATAGAACCGGGATGGTTTTCCCCTTTTAATTCATAGACATATTGTACATTGCATTTACTGCCAAAGAAGTAACGGGATGCTTTTAAGCCATTTAGAAGAGAACCGGGATGCCATCCCGCCGCATCCCGCCCCACCGCAAGCCCTGATTTTAAGTATTCTGCCATTGAGATTCATCCCATATAACACACAGACTCGGGACCAATTCAGCCTGATAAAAGATTGCGTTAGCTATAAGTAGGTCACATTTTGGTCCCAAGTCAAAATTTTCAGGCCTTTTTAACTATGTACTTAACATCGATGCAGTATATTTCAGCCTGTGCTGCATCAGAATTGAAAACAAAAACTTGTATTTATACCTGAGTCATAAGATATTTCAAAACAAATGCCTAAAATTTATAAGTAATTTGTGGTAGCTGAGCTTAACCGTACGACGTAAAGTAAGTAAAGTAAAGGTATCCCTGCAACAGGCGGTGGAGGCCCATAGGGTTGTGAAATGTTAAGGTTCCCACATTTTCTAGACAATCGGCTCATAGATGGCGGCAAGGTTGTCAGCCCTACGCGCCGGTCGCCCTTTAACCCCAAGAATATTCCTGGTACTCATTTCTGTTAGAGGTTGTGTGGACCTCAGGGCCATAGTGCGACCAGAAGGCTTAGGTCAACTGAAAAATCCAATGATCTCATTGGTACTTGAACCCGCGACCTGCCGGCTTGTAGTACAGTGCCTACCGAGTGCCCCTAATCGTACGACGTAGATAACTAATTTAAAATGATCCAGAAAGAACAGCTCATGCCCACATTCACAGTCAAACTATGATGGTTATCAGGTAAAAGTAAAGCTTTCCCTGTACCAGGCCGTGAAGGCCCATAGGGTTGTGAGACGTTGAGGGTCCCACACTATCTAGACAATCGGCTCAAAGATGGCAGTAAGGTTGTCAGCCTTACGCGCCGGCCGCGCTTTACTCCCGAGGAAAATTATTTAATTAATTCCTGGTACTCATTTCTGTTAGAGGCTGAGTAAACCCCAGGGCCTAGTGCGGCTGGAAGGATTAGGTCAACTGAAAAAAAAATCCAGTGACCTCATCGGGATTTGAACCCGCCACCTTCCGGCTACTGGATGAAAGTAATGAAAAAGCCAAGGCTAGTATTATTCTGTATCAAATCAGAGTCCCAATATTCCATGCACTGGTACGGTTAGGTGTATTAGGATTATCTTAGATTATAGAAACACACATAATGTTTGTGAACATTCTCAAATAAAAATACTAAGAGAAAGAAAGGTCTGATATTTAGAAGTTCCGTTCGGTCGAGCAGCTATTAGTACAGATATCCAAATTGCTGTTTCCTTAAAAACTGTTAAATGCTGGCATGGTTCTCTCTGTTCTGAACACAAACATATGGAGTTACTCCTAGAAAAGACGAACTGGAGCAATACTGTGAATATGACTAATGTTTTCCCTGTGGCTACTGCTTTTAAGGCCGGGTACAGACTAGCGAGCTGTTGCATGTAACGTAACGGTTACTGTAACCACGTCTTCATATGGACGACACGTCCATAGTCGTCATGTAACCAGCTTCGAGCGACCCGATCCATAGTGCTCGTGGTGAGCTCGCCATGAAGACATAGCGATTCGCAACGCTACTCCTGGCTCGAAGGAAACGTACACATTTACGAGCAAGCNACGCTAGTGTGAACGCGCCCTTACAGAGCGCGCTCGAAGTACGTTCGCAAGCGTGGTTCGGAAGGCGTCCACACTAACAGAATGTGGTTACAGTAACCGTTACGTTACATGCAACAGCTCGCTAGTGTGTACGCGCCCTTACAGAGCGCGCTCGAAGTACGTTCGCGAGCGTGGTTCGGAAGGCGTCCACACTAACAGAATGTGGTTACAGTAACCGTTACGTTACATGCAACAGCTCGCTAGTGTGTACGCGCCCTTACAGAGCGCGCTCGAAGTACGTTCGCGAGCGTGGTTCGGAAGGCGTCCACACTAACAGAATGTGGTTACAAAAACCGTTATGTTACATGCAACAGCTCGCTAGTATGTACGCGCCCTTACAGAGCGCGCGCTAAGTACGTTCGCGAGCGTGGTTCGGAAGGCGTCCACACTAACAGAATGTGGTTACAGTAACCGTTACGTTACATGCAACAGCTCGCTAGTGTGTACGCGCCCTAACTTGTTATGACAAGTCATTCGCAGTATGAGAAGTGTGATAGCGGTTAAAGGTTTTGTTTGTTTAGAACTTCTTGTCCTAAAGCCTGAATTTTATGCTCTTGCAATGAGGTATACTATTAACCAGATTTTTATTATAAGCGAAACATTCACAAAAACCAGAATTAAATGAAGTGAAAATGGTCGTTTACTCTACAAGAATGAGTTCGCACAGAACTCAATAATTGGCAGATAACAGATTCAATTTCTGATAAAAGGAAACAACACAAAGGAATGTGTTAATTGAAAATAAGGTTAAAGACATTATTGGACGGTTCGATATAAGTCCTCGAAGGAAAGACAAGAAAACAGTTTTTCACTCGGACCTACGTTCATATACACATATACACAGGGGCTTGTGAAACGATGGGGCAAGTGCCTCAATGTACAGGGAGATCATGTTGAGAAATGAAAGCATTTTTCAAATCAGTACTCTTACTTGTTTAAGTTCTATATCCATTTGTAAGTTACTTATTGACTTACCTACGTAATTTATGCTACAACGGCAGCTTAGTCATTTGAATGGTTGTAAGCTTGACCACCGCAAAGTTTTAGCCTCTTCTATTTTTCAACTGCCAGTCAAAGTCAAAGTCACATTGCGACTGACGGTCGGTCAGTCAGTCAGTAAGTCTTGGCTCCGAGCCTCATATGTGGCTCGTGACCAGATATTTATTACTGTTTGACAGTTACGGTCTTGTTTCTGTGGGGCGCCCTCTCTGACGAGAGGACGGGTCTGCCTTTTGTATATGCTGCTGGTCCTTGCCAGGGCAGTCTTTCTCGGTCCGAGTCCTTTGGCACTCGCGACCATATTTTACTGTCTCAGATTTGAGACCTCCCTTTTCGTCGCCTCCTACGACNCATGTTGAGAAATGAAAGCATTTTTCAAATCAGTACTCTTACTTGTTTAAGTTCTATATCCATTTGTAA